GGGCACTGGGAAGGATCGAAAGCTCCACTCCAAATCCTTTTTCTCATTGTAGCCATCCCCAAAGCTCACTGTGGTGGGAGGGGGCTCGTCTGTCAGTCCCACAGGAGGAAAGCTCACGGCTGCACGGGCTGCCCTCCCCAGGTGACATCTGCCTAGACCGTCGCCCGCAGAATCCCCTTGGCGTTGTAATTCCCCCTGCTTCCAGACAGCTCCAGCGACCAGGTTTCCTGCCCGCGCTCGCTGCTGCCCGGGCTGGGCAGGGGGATAACGCGCCCGCGGGGCTGGAGGGGCAGGCCTGACGCTGTGAGCTGCGGCTCTGCACCCCTCGATGGGTTTGCGCAGCTCCAGAACACGATCAAGGCCGGGCTTAGAGCTCCTTTCTTCCCCTGGCGCTGGAGGCACGCAGCCAGGCTGCTGCCCTCCGGTGCTCCTTCCCTCCGTGGCCATGGAGCCAGGATGGCCCTGAGCCCCTGCGCAGGAGCTCTCCCTGCTGCCGACACCCCCAGCCTCTGCTCAGGCTGTGGCCACCACGGAGGTTTCCACACACCGGCAGGCAACACAGGCAGCTCTGCCTGGCTCCATCCTCACCGTATGGGGTGGCTGGCACCCGCGCCAGGAGCCCAGCTCAGCACCAAGCCCGGAGCAGCGCCGCACAGCCTGGGCTTGGCAGCAGCTCCGGGGCTGCCTCTCCCGCAGCACCTTTCCTTTCTGCGTCTCCTTGCTGCAGGGAGGGTGGAAACCTCACCTTGCTCCCTATGGGCACAGGGCTCTCCCTCCACCTCTGCCCCGCGTCACCCCAGCCTGAGGTCAGCACATCACAGCACAGATTCTGCCCTGGAGCCTGTGAAGTATCTGTGTCCCCCCACGCACTCACTGAGGGGCTGCCAGGGGTTTGGCTAAAGCCAAGCCTCCAGGAGGGACCACGTCTGTTACTGCGTGCAGGGACAGTCCCCAACTCGCTTGCTCGTGGTTAAACAAGACACAGTTAAATACGTGGACCCTCCGAGAACAAGGGATGCAGGTCAGAGAGCAGAAGACTGCAGCTGGGCAGCTAGGACCAACAAACATCACACAAGTATCTTCTCCAGGAGAAAATACTTGTCCTGTTATCTGGGAAGGATATTGTGGCTGGAGGCAAATCCCAGGAGACCCCCAGGCAAAGGACAATGCCCAGACCCCAGTCCAAGCACCACATCCCCATGCCCTCCGAAGGGGTTGGTGTGTCTCTTACCACGTCCCTCAGCACCTCCCCATCACCCCTGCTGATGGGCCCAACAGCTGCTGGAGCCACCTCCCCAGAGCCAGCTGGGGCTGAGGAGGTGGCAGGTCCCCAAGCACCGCTGGCCTGGAGTACAGGGACACAACAGCCACCAAGGACTGGGGCCGCACAAGGCTCTGCCAGTGGGAACAGTGGTTTTCCGTCCTCCCTCAGGGCCCAATCCAGACCACCAGGATCAGTCAGCACGGCAGGGCGCAGGTGCTGGCTTTGCTTGTGCAGCAGTGAGCTATGGCAGCGATGCTCTGACCAAAGACATGCATGAGCCTCCTAAAGCTCCTGCCACTGCCAACTCACAAGAGAAACGGGAGCACAAGCAAACCTCCCCGAGCTCTTGACGAGGCTGCAGGATCAACCCCCTGTGCAGGCAAACAGATGAGAAGTGTTGCAGCTCAGGGTGGAAGTTCTTTATTTGTGGCCTGGAGGAAGGAGCAAAACCTGGCAAGTCTACCATCAAGTAGGAAATGTAATCAAGTAGGAAAACAAGCTTCACGGAATTCAGGATAAGCTTAAAAATTGCCGTTGGCAGTAGGAGGCTGCTGCACGCGAGCAGTGTGCGTCCCCTGAGGCGCTGGCACCGGGGACACGTTTGGCTCCAGCAGCCCAGTGCAGCCCCGGTGCAGCTCCTGCAGCTTGTCAGCTCAGCGCCCTGCTCGGAAAGGACTGAATTTCAGCTAGCCCTCCATTTCCTCTCAGCTGTAGTGTCTGTATGAAGAAAGCAGACAGCACAAGACTGGCATGACAGACAGATGGATGCCAGACAGACAACTGGACATCTCAGGCTCCCAACAGATACAATGCTACGGTCCACAGCAGCACAGAGCCATCTCTGGTGGGATTTGACCTCACACCACCTCCACTCCTGTGAGAGGGACATCCCAGCTGCATCTGCGTCAGCCTCCGGGGACCACTGCCCCATCCAGGAGCCCCCCCGCAAGGGGACAAGGCAATTTCCCCCTGCCAGGGGCCAGCTTGGTCCTTGTTTCCCCCTCCAAGAGCTGCCAGCTACTGCTGCCCCCAGCACCAAGGCTGATCTCAACCCCAGATGGGCTGAACTACTCCCCCCTCCCAAAAAGCAGCTGCTGCTGGAGGTCTTGGGCAGCTCTCACACTGAGATGGGGGAGAGGGGAGGAAGAGGACGGATATCCATGGGCAGCACTGCCTGGGACTCGGGAAAGGCCAGGAAAGCAACTCAGAGAGACACAAATGGACAGTGAACATCACAGCCTGCACACCCCGTGCTGTCCCTGCGCCCCCAGCCGTGTCGGCTCAGAAGAAAGTAACAGCACAGAATGGGGGTGGGCTTGCTCCCCACCCAGCACCCCCAGTGCTCCCTCCCCCAGGCGGACACAGGATTGGCAGCGTGACCACTACCACCAGTCACTGATCAGAGGCAGCAGCTATTAGCTCCGACTCTGGGAGACGTCACCCTGAGATGTCCCAGAGCAGCAGTGTTCGGTCATGTTTCTGTCCATCGGTCAATCCCAGGCTGTCCATCACTGATTTTTGTTTGCTCCTGCAGCCCAGAAATCTGCAAGACAGCATGGAGGTGGGTACACAGTCCTGCCTCAGCCTGCCCTGCTCACAGAGGCTGCCCTGCAGGACCCAAGCAGGAGGAGAGGGGAAGAAAGGAGACCCCTCTCCCAGAAAGCACCAGGCCCCAGTTACCAGGTGCCAGCTCCCTTCCCACCTCTGCAGACATACGCAGACAACACGAGTCCTGCGTGCAATTCAACCGCAACACAAGACACGCCGCAGTAACTCATGCAAGGAAGAAAGAGGAGGCAGAGGCTGTCAGGACTCTCCATGCCCAATCCTGCTGGTAGGTTACAGAAAAGGGGCATCATGTCGCTTCAGGGGACACTCAGAGGTGCCCAGACAAGCATCCTCCAGCAGGAACGACATGTCAACCACAGGCTCAGAGGAAAAACCCAGCAAGGTTCTCCTGCCGTTCCCAAGTCATCCCTCAGACTTTTCCATGAGGACTCAGAGATGTTCCCCACCTTGCTCTGTGCCTGCTCTGACAACAGCATGGAGGGGGTGATCCTGCTCCACCTTCCCAAAAGCAGAGGAAGGTTTGATAACAAGTGCAACCAAGTCAAGACCTGGACTGGCTGCCCTCACCCGGAGACCCTGACACCCAGCATCTGTCCCCTCTTCCCCAACACAGTATGTGCCACGCAACGGCCTCAGGAGGGGCAGAGCCTGGTACTGGTACAAGATGACCAAGGCACTGAAGGTGGTAATGGCATACCCACTACTATGGCAACCATGCCCCTATACTGTGGGGCAACAGGGTTTCCGACACGAGCCCTGCTCTAATCCTACGGAGGGGGAAATGCACGTCACCTAGAGTTTAGCAGAGGATGAAGCAATACCCAGCAAGGCAGGGAAGTTGTTGGCAGAGGTCAGCCAGCTCCCACCATCCACGACCAGGGTGGTGCCCGTCACGTAGGAGGAGAGGGGGCTCGCCAGGTACAGCGTGCTGTGGGCAATCTCCGTCTTGTTCCCTGCACGCTGGAGGGGGATCATGTCGAACTGGCTTGCTTCCTCAGCAAATTTTCCACCTAAGAGTGGCAGAAGAGTCAGCTAGGACCATGGGACCACCTGCTCACCAGCACTGCCTGCCCGACACTGCAGCACTGCTTGCATGGGGCTTGCTGAGAGCCCCAAGGAACCTAAATGAGATCCTGGCACACCCCTGGGGATAGCCCAGGGACAAAGGCCCGAGAAGGGAGTTAAATGAGGGGAGCTCAAGCCCAGCAGTAGGATCTGTACTGCAACAGTGAGTTCAAGACAGGACCTCAGAGAGCCTTCCCAGCCTCCAGGGCTGAACCGGCACTCTGCTGACAGCCTGCAAGAGCTAAACCATCAGGCAAGGCAGCTGGCCAGGCTGAGCTTTGGGGGAGCACGTTACACTGTGGCATCAGAGAGCACAAAAAGCTGCCACTTGACAGAGAAAGATCAGTGCCCTGCGAGGTACCGAGGATGCGGGAAGGGCTGCTCCCGCAAAGAGATGTGCCAGCTGAGTGACAGGACAGCCATGCCCAGCAGCAACAGCCCCGGCTGCATCACACGCCCCACGAGCTACATGCACTGGTGGTCCATGACAGTCCCCTCCCAGCAAGCCACTGCTGAGGCAGAGACAGGAGCCCCAGGTTGCCTTACCCAGCCGCCGGTAGCCCTCGGTGCCTGTAATGGGGCCCGGTGCCAAGCTGTTCACTCGGATGTTGTTGGGTCCCCACTCCACAGCAAGGTGACGGGTCATGGCATCTGAGAAGGAATTAAAACTGGAATGAGAAATGGAGAGCGGAGCCATTCCAGTAACTTTTGGGGAGGCCAAAAAGCCACAGGAGACTCTGGCCAAGCGCAAAGGGCCCTAGAAGAGCCCTGGGGGAGAGAAGAGCCTCATCCCAAACCCAGGCACGTAGTAACCACACCGATTCATATTTGCCTCTCCCAAGGACATCTTCCCATCCCAATATTTGGGAAGAACAGGCTTCCTTACTGGCCCCACACAGCTCACAGAGCCCCAGCAAGGAGCATTTAGGTACCTATCGCAGCCTTAGCAGTACCAGCATGCACCTGGAGGGCCTGCCCTCGGTAGCTCAGGGTTGCAGTAATGTTAACGATGACGCCACCATGGTCCTGGGGAAGGAAAAGAGATGTGGCGTTAGGCAGGGAGCAGCACAAGGGGTCATGTAGGGGAGTGGTGGGACAAGAGAGCTGGGCTAGGAGGGATGGTCACCCGTGGGCACTGCTACCTCTGCACTGCTAACCCACCACCAGGGCAGCACTGCCCACCTGGCCTCACTGAGCAAGGGCAGCCAGCGAGGCCCTTCCGAAGAGGCGGGAGATGCAGGGGACAAGCAAAGACCAAGGGAAAGCAGAGGAGCTGGAAAAGGAGCAGCAGATCACAGCTTCTTCCCCAGCAAAGGTGGCAAAGCATGAAAAGGTGCCACAATGGTCAAAAGCCCCAGGGCTAGGGACAGGCAGGATTCCCAGTTCCTGCACAGGGGCTGCCATCCCTGGGAGGGAACAGACTGGATCTGAGCAGGGTGGGTGGCAGAGGCCAGGCAGCACAGTCCTGGCTACATGGGTGCTGTGTTGCCTTCTGCCCTCCACACTTCCCTGAATTTCTCAGCAGCAAAGTGTGGTTTGTTTGACACTAACCCCCTGCCTACCAGGAGCCTCTCCACCGAGTACTCTGGCTCTGGTTCCACTTACCCGGAAATATTTCTCAAAGAGGACTTTGGAGGTGTTGAAGGTGCCAATGGTGTCAATATCTATCACTGTCTTGAAGGCATTGAAGGACAGGGCGCTGGCTGGGCACAAAAAGTTTCCCGCAGCACCTGAAGAACAAGCAGCCAGGGGCACAGTCAGGACTGGGCCAGAAGAGATCAGGCAAGTTCAGGGCACTTCTGCGAGAGGGACAGTGAGCGATACTGTTTGGGTAGGCTGGAGAGCATGTGAAAACAACCCTGATAAGGGGACAAACAGCTTGTGGCTCTGGGTGCCCAGCAGCACAGCCAGCCTGAGGGCAGGAGGGTGCTGGTGCAGTGAGAGCAGGGATGACTGGATGGCCATGCATTAAGAACAGGTCTTTGCTTCCTCTGAGCCCATCCCCTCTGTGCTCCCAGGCCAAAGCAGCATAAGCCAGACACTAGGCAACCACAACCCCCCTGCAGGAAAATGCCCTTCCTAAAAGTGAATCTGTGCCAAGTCTTCCCTCTGCCCACTCCAGCAGCTCACCGTTAACAAGGATGTCAATCTGCTTGAACTCTTTCAGTGCCTCATCCACTGCTGCCACAATGGTTTGGGGCTGCCTGACATCTACAGACAGAGGCAGGCACTGCTGGCCTGTGGCTGCCACCAGCTTTTGAGAGGCCTAAAAAAACCAAAACCAAACACCCACCGCCCCCCAAAAAAAAGCAGAGGTGAGATTCTTTCTGGGACTCTCTCCTTCAGCAAGGGTTAGACCCAGACCTTATAACAGGCAAGCAAGAAGTCAGGCGGGAGCCATGTCCTTGTCAGCACACAAGAGACCTGCCTAAACACGGCTGGCTTCAGCCCGGCAGCACCCTGCAGCTAAAGTCCTGGGGTAGCCAGAGAAAGCTCCTGCAAGTTGTATCCCTACCAAATGCCAGGCTGACCCTGAGGCCACAACTTACTAAGCCCAGTTACCTCCGTGGCCCGTCATTGACACAGCACATCCCGAGCAACATCTCTGCAAGGCAAGTACAAAGGTTGGACTCCAACAAGGCATTTTTGGCATGAGCTTAGACATAATTAACCTTTAGATCCGAAAAATGTCAGTAGGCAAAAGGGCAAAAACAGACCAGCAGTTGCCAGGGTCTCTGCCCATGAGGCACAGTGGGCCAGCTCTGCAGCTCAGCGTCTGCCACAAACCACCCCCAAGGTGCTTGTTAAGAACATGACTCCCCTCAACAAATTAAGCACAGGGGATGCGCAAACTCAGCAGCAACCCTGCACAACATCCAGCGACGTTCCACATTCCAATCAGGCCCTTCTGTGAGAAGCTTTGAGCCCTGACTAGCACACACATACACCGAGCGTCAAGAGCCTGGGAAAGCAGTCCCTGTATACTCAGAAGACCCTGAGGACTAAAAAGCTGCTGAGCTTTGCAGCTTGTTTTCTGGCATGTGAGCATGAGGGAATGCAAAATGACAGTGCTAACCCCCTCCAGGAGGCAGCTGGGTCATGCCAGCTCCCTCCCCAAGTGTCAGTTTTGATCTTTACTGTATTTCAGTGAACTCCACACACAGCTACCACAAAGCTCGCTCTCAGCTGCTTTCAGCCTCAGACCATGGCACAAGCCACAGTGAGGAACAGAAACTGTGATCAGCCAAACTCCAGCCTGGGGTCAGACATGCAGGGGTGGGTGTTTGTTCTGCCCAGCCATCCACAGGGTAGCTACAGTCTAGTACAGCTTCTTCAGTCACTGCTCTCCAGACCTGGAGAGCATTACCTCCGTCTCAAGATGCAATATAACTGAGATTTTGGGGCTCACCAGACCTGCCTCAACCCATGTAACCCTTGGTCAAGGGGGTCTTGCCCTGCTCGAGGCTGAGATTTAAGTTTGACCTTGGGCTCTGTCACTTCCCTGCTGACAAACCTTCACCACAGTTTGTTTCTCTCTGTTTCATCAACAAAAAGGTGATGTGATACCTGGAACAGAGACTCCCAAAGCTGGCAGAGGAAGGTATTAACACAATTAACTGAGCCTACTGCAAGGTGCAGTAGGTGTAGCCCACCCTAAACCCACACCCGTCCTACCCATCATTGCTCCCTGCTGGTGCTGGAGCACTCAGAGATAGGAGAAGACAGGGTAGCACAAGTGAGCTATTTCTCCTGATGCACTACTCCTAGGGCTCCCAGCTCCATCCAGAGGAAAGGACAGAAAGATTTCCAGGTGTTCACAGCTCTCCCTACTGCTGCCTGTGCTGCTGGAGCCCATGGACTCACCTCCAACACTCGCTGCAGGTTCCGGCTTGCAATGACCGTCCGGCAGCCATGCCTGCAAAGAAGGGGCTGGTGAGAAGGACCACACAGCGCCAGCTCCTCACAGTCATCTCAGACCTCTGGGGATTACCAGGAGTTCAGTTGGTGAGCGGTGGGAAGTAGCCCTTGGAGGGGAGGAATTGCTGCTCCTCCAGGCTAGCAGGACGCAAAGAGGGGGAGAGTCACAGCACACTAGAGACCTATCCCAGCCCTGCGACAGGGCCAGCCCCTGCCTCCCACACCCCTATGAACCATCAGAGCCT